ACAAACACTCTCTACACTCTCCCTCACACTCCCTCTCTCTGTGTAAATACGAAATTATCTCGACGAGAAAAAAAAAATAAAAATGAAGTGAAAAGTTGTATGGGGTTTGAAGTAGGAGAGAAATGTTATGGATGATGATATATCTGCCTATTTTAAGGCTTTTTTTTTTTTTTTAATTTTGCAAGTGTAAGAAAGACCAGTAAATTATTGCATCGCTGGACCGGATTGTGTGTAGATTTGGTGTGATTCACACTGTTTATATACTAATGTGTACTCGGAGGGGGGTTTATATATAATGAATCCCTCTGTCATATTTTATTTTATTTTTTTTTTATATTATATTTGCTTAATTAATTAAATATTTAATTAATTAATTAATTAATTATATTTGCTTGCTTGGGTCATCAAAGACTGGAAAAAGTATTCCATCTGATCTGACTGGGTTGATTGTATCTTGTTTTATAACTCATAAAATATGGCCAATAATTCTGCTTAATTATACCTATAATAATAAGCCACGCGCCTATATATCTATCTATCTCACGCCATTAATTAGCAAGATAATTATAAGTGTATAATGCATTTAGATAATTAGAAAGAAATGTTACGGCCTCGTTACAGAACTATTCCGTAGGGGTTTGTAACCGTTAGATCAATTAATCCCGACGGTTAATTACTTGATGGTTACATGATGATCTAACGGCTACAAATTCCGACAGAATGATTCTGTAACGGGACCTCAGAATTTTCCTGCATAATATAATATAGTATGTAATTAGAGAAAAAGGACTAATGGCTTGAAAGGATAATTTCAAACCAAGCCCAACTTGTTGCCATCAAATTGCTTGCAAATTGGTTGCTAAAATGATCTTTTGACTTACTTGGCCACAAAGTTAATCATATTCTTTGTGTCATTATAGCTTGCAGTAATTTTAATTACCTTTGGGTGTTTTAATCAACACCACCTCAGTCTTTATCAGCAAAAGCCGCAAAAGTTTCATTTTTATTTGAAATACATTATTATTTTTTTTATTTTAATTGGATATATACAATTTAACTAAGATATTCTTCATCATATTTCAGATATTTCATGAAATGTTTGGGGATTCACGAAAAAGGTATACGTTTTACATTCAAAATCAAATGAATTGTTAAATATTATTATGATCTGCAATTAATGTATTAAGATGTTACATATTATGATCTGCAATTAATGTATTAATTAAGTTATATCACGGATATGATATATAGTACTTGATATGGCATCTATGAATAGCTCGGTTAGCTCGGCTAGAGAAGATTAAAGAGAATCCGTTTCAGTACTTATATCTTATGACGAGCTCCACGTAGCTCGAGGTCGGCAAGTCAAGGAAGCTCGGACATTAGAGATCCAGGTAGTTTGGAGGTCGGAAGACCTAAAGAGTTAGGCTTAATGAGAGACCTCATGACCTGTAGGCCGGTTGGGGTCAAGTCGTTGTTACGACCTGGGTAAGGCTAGTGGCAGGTGGGTGAAGAGGTCGGGTTGATGACCTCGAAAACCTAGGAGTCGCGCAACAGGAGGGGCAAGAATCCTTCATGGATGGAAAGTACATATTGACAAGGACTCTCAGGTTCAAAAGATCTTGTTAGTCAGGAAAGTGGATACGGGATAATTACTTTCAAACTGAGGCTCTTAATCACCAAGTTTCCCTTAGTATATAAGGGTATACATGTTTTTTACTTTGCACAACACACATACCCGCACAAAGACATACATACATACTTTTGGTTTTTATCACGGACATACACTGATTTGAGCGTCGGAGACTTTTTTGCCAGGACCCCTCCCAATGTATTGCTGGTCATCGGGGATGCGAGATGGTGAAGGTTCGCGTTTCGCGGTTAAACCGGTTCAAGAAAATTTGGGTATCAAATTGGCACCGTTTGTGGAAAGAACTCCTGTCTTTTACCAGCTATAAAAGGTTGATCGGGTTTTTCTCACAAAAAATAAAAAGAAATTTGAAGATCATGACAGACGATAATTACAAGAAGAACCTGACAATAGAATTGGATGAGGCATGGACAAGAAGAGCGTTTGGGATTGTCCCTCCTCTACTGATATAGGGAAGCGTACGAGTGTGATAATATTAATGAGACCGCAATTTCTAGAGCACCTTACGATATAAATTCATATTTTAATTCATTAACAACCAAGGATAAATAAACTAGTGGGATTCCTTTATATAAGACCCCTAATCTTATATCAAACTTGATCACCAAGAAAGCTACTTAATATTTAAATACTAAACCCAAGAGCGCTTGGATGAGATGGCTTGGGTCTCTTCCAACATAACCAGTGGTCTCGTGTTTGAGCCCTGGGAATGCAGCAGTGTTAAAACTCTTGAGGGAGAGCTTTGCCGCCCTTGTGGTCCTACCCGGCTCGATTCCGGATTAGAACTAACGATCTCCTAACAGCTGCCAACCTCGGCATCGCAACTGGAGGATTTTTTTTGATTGGGGGGGTTGATCGGTTCCCCTGTGGATCCGGAAACCGGAAGGTCCCTGTACCAAAAATATTTAAATACTAATAATAATAATAATAATAATAATAATAATAATAGTAATAATAACTATTCTGTATCATTTTTCTCATGTCGAAAAGGATTTGCCCAAGAATCCGAAGAAATCTCATCTTCAACTGCGCTGCGATCTCGACCGGGCCAATTTGACAGGTCGTGAACTTGGTATACTCACAAGTAAAAAATCTATGACAACAACACGTCAAGCTCCCAAAAAATTCCCACATACTCAATGACCCAAAGTAAATAGTTCATTGCACTTTATCCTTTTTGGGTACACGATGCGAGTTATGAGACACATCTACTTGTTGAGTAATGTTGGATATTGGTGTAAAATTACACGAAAATCCTACTAATTGATATTATTTTTCAGTTCTTACAAATAATCTAAAAATAGAAAACTACAATTGAACTGAAAAAATAAATTACAACTTAAAATATGGAAAGATTTAGCCGAGGCGAGTAAAACTCTTTCCGCAAGAAGAATACGCCCCGTGTGGCAGCTAACGGTTTAGGCGTAACTTCCTCAAAGATACAACGACAAACGTCTCTAAATCTGTAGCTAGCACTGTCAAACGGGCCGGTCCGGCCCGGCCCGCTCCGGCACACGCTGGCCCGCGGTTCAAACGGGGCGAACCAAAATGGCCCGCATTTCTACGGGCTGAGAAATCCATAGCCCGTGGCCCGCCCGCATTAGCCCGCGGGCCAAATTGGTCCGCCCGCGGGTTTTATTTATTTATTTTTTTATGGTATTCGCACTCTTATATATTTTTTGGTTTGTTTATTCTTATATTTACTAGTATATTAATAAACTAGTAAGGTTTCATGTGTAATGATGTTAAATATTTGTCATCTAGTTTTTTTTTTATTTTTTTTATCAATAGTTATAGGATATTCACGCGCAGGAACGACTTAATTGACATAAAATATTATTTAATTTATTAATATTTTTATTATGTAAAAAAAAAATGTTTCATGTGCAAGTTAGAAATTAGAAGTAAAATAAAAAATACTAAATTTAAATAATATAAAATAAAAAAAAGGGCCAGCCCGCCCCAGCCCGCGGGCCCAACGGGGCAGGCCAAATAGGCCCGCGATTGAACGGGCTGGCCAAGCAAAGGCCCAAGCCTGTCCGTTTAATCGGGCGGACGGGCAGCCCGCGGGCCACCGGCCCGTTTGACAGTGCTATCTGTAGCATACCAGATTTACGAGTTCCGACGAACTGGAACGGAGTCGAGAATTGAGCACTTAAAAATAAAAGGAATATCATAAAACAAATAAAAATATCACTTGTTTTTTCTCTTTTGATATTTTTATATCAGATATTTGGACATATATTTTTCTTTTCTTTCCTTTCTCTTTCTTTTTCTTTTCTCTTTTTTTCTCTTCTTCTTTGTGTTTCTCCCGTCCGAACTCCCTCAGTTTATAGCATATGGGGAATATGAAATTAGGACAATTGGCCTAACTTTTCATTAAAAAATTATTATTATATATATATGGTTTATTCAAGTGGGGCGGCTACATGTGGCACCGCCCCAACACTTTCAATTATTATTATTCTTTTATTCAAGTGGGGCGGCTGCATGTGGCATTCATCATTTCTTTTAATGTACGGTGCTTGTGTTCAGCAACACCGTTCGACTGTGGAGAATAAGGGGTCGTCGTTTGATGAATTATGTCATATTCAGAACTTATTTGTTCAAAAAGAGCTACATACTCCCTACCCCTATCACTTTGGATTATTTTAATCCTTTTGCCGAGTTGATTTTCAACTTCAGTCTTATAGATTTTAAACACTTCCACAGCCTCTTCTTTGCTTCTTAACAAAAATAAGTAGTGTAATGCTATTAAGCTTGAATTAATATATTACTCAATGAGGATTACAACATATATATACAAGCCAAATGAGATGTAAGAAAGGAAAGAAATCAAAACACCTAATCTAAGGGATTCACCATATCACCTAATTGATACAATCTAATCTATACCATATTTACGATAACACTCCCCCTCAAGCTGGAGCATATATATCGATTATGCCCAGCTTGTTACAAATGTTTTTCATTCTTACACCATTCACTGCTTTTGTAAATATGTCCTTTAATTGATCCTCAGACTTGATATATCTTGTAGTGACGAAACCTTCTTCGACCTTATCACGAACAAAGTGGCAATCTATCTCGATGTGTTTGGTTCGTTCATGAAATACAGGATTTGATGCAATGTGGCTTGCTGCTTGGTTGTCACACCAAAGTGTTGCTGGGAGAGCAAATTCTAATCCAAGCTCCTTAAGTAACTGATGTATCCATACAACCTAACATACTGAATCAGCCATCGACCTTTACTCAGCTTCGGCAACTGA